GAACTTGCACAATTGGTGGCTGACTAAATACTTTTTTGCCCCACTGTATATGCATTCTTCTGATTCCTCTATCATTTCCTGGTTACTGAAGCTGGAATAATACTTCCTTTTATGCCAGTCAGATGCTTCTCATTAAAAGAGTTTAGATTTTTGTTCTCTGGAGAATAGTAACATCATTTAATAAACTAGAGATACTTAAAAATGTAAATAGCTTCACTACCTCCAGTGTTACCAGTAGCCTTCTGCAAGGTGGAAAAAAACCTGAAATGAAATCCATTTAATATTTAGTTTTGCATTGGTTTGCTTCCTATGCTTTCTGCATTGTCACTATATGAAAGTTTAAGCTGAAGTGACACCACTTTACTTCAGGTCACATTTACAGTGTCATTCTAGAAGAAAACATTGCAGAATATAACTTTACAAAACAAGTAGTAAAACTATTGCTGCTAAATTTGCTTATTTATTTTAATAGATTTGTATCTTAGCTTTCTTCTAGCAAATCAACTAAGTTACCTAGTGAGATTCCACATCTGAGAACAGACTTGAATCTAGATCTCCTTTGTTCTAGAGTGACATCTTAACCACTATGCCTTTTTGAACTAAATCTACCTGCAAATAACTGAATTTTGTTGGAAGCTACAGTTGTACAATCCACTGTACTTTAGTCTGGATAAGGTCTGCATTTGTTGGCCCACATCCAATCCATTTATAAATTTCATCCATTGATTAAGGATTAGAATAGAGAAGAATGTATTTCATTAAACCAGAATATTTATTTAATATTTATCTTATTAAATATTCATTAAATGCCAAACTGGTTAACATAATGTGACAATTCCAAATTGCTGAAATCTGAGGTTGAACTATTTATTTATTTATTTATTTATTTTGTCCCCGCCCATCTCCCCACAATGGGGGACTCTTTTACTTTTACCTATAAAACCTTTTTGTAATTTTTAGAACAAAGTTACCAATAAAATGACTATTTGAGACAAAGGCATAAAAACATAACATTTCAGTTTATTACAGGGTGGAATGTGCCAATAACCACTTGAATGGTATTTTGCAAGTCAAGCATAACTAATTAATTAAAAAAGAAACTGTAAAACACTTCAAGATAGCTCTTGTTGCCTCTGCATTATTGCTTTTTTTTTTTTTTTTAATAATTGTGGATTTTGAAGCTACTCAGGAAATACTCTTACTTTGCTGCTTAACTCTGTAAAGCTTATTCTAAATTCAAGAATCAAACAGGGATGCCTATAAATAAAAGACAAAGGAAAATGTGACGAGATACCAGAGTAATTTCTACAGACTAATAAATATTTAGGATTTTATATTAAAAATATTTCTAAATACACGGAAATAAATATGTGAAAAGTTTTAGAAAAGATTGCCATAGATATTTATAGAAGGATTAAAATTCCTTATGCTGGTGAGGTAAAATTAATGTTACTAAAATGAATATTGCTCCATAATTGAGTTATGTTTTAAGAGCTATTCCAATGTTAATCCCAATTTTTTTTTCAGATAAATTATTGGGGAAATTCATATGGGAAAATAGGCTATCTAGGAATTCACTGGCTGAATTTAGATTATCTTTTAAGGATGTGATTTTATTTTTACCAGTTTTTTCAAAATAACAGGCTTATATTTTATCAGCAATGATCTGTGTGGAATGAAAATTCAGTAGAGCATCAACCTTTGTGGAACTTGCTGGAAAGTTTTTATTTCCGTATTTCCATTAAGTTCCTGGCTATTGCTGGGTCAACATACAGCAGAAATAAGTGTTTCATTTCTGGGACTGGCAGCAGCTAGACGTGTTTGGGTCTTGCTGGGTTATGGATTGGATTTGGAGTTGAGGCCCACGAATATTTAACTTTATGGAAGAAGTCTACTTTAAAATTAGAGGACACAATGTTCTATTGGAAATCGGAAGTGGAATCCGGAACACTTACTTTAAATCAATTTGCTTTGCAATGATTATTATAAAGATTTATCTTGTTTTCAACCACAATTTGGCCTCCTTAATTACCATAGCAATATAATCAGTTCAAATATGTTTTGATGTCTCAGTAGCTTTGTTGTTTTGGATGCTTCCAAAAAATCTGAAGCATTGGAGTCAATGTCTGAAACTAAACCCACTTATATTTGTACAAAAGAACTAATGAATATTTTCAAAGTTGATATTAATGACATTTGTAGCTTGTGGATTTAAAAAATGAAACACCAATGGTTGTAGGTCTTAGAAATACAAAACTGGTTTTAGTGGGATATAAGATTTAAATTTAAGATTAATCTCAGTAAGAGAGTTAAGCAATCACTGAAAATATTATCATGGGTGGAATCCATGATTAGAATATGTGAAAACATTAATTTACATTAGGATACTTTAACATCATTAAATCTATTGTTAACCTGACAGCCCTCTGAATGTATGTTACTAAAACAAAAAAGCTTATATACTATATATTTTGTAACTTTTGATAGAAGCTTATTTTGTATTTGCAGAAATATTATATATTCCAATGTATACTTTCAGATATGACTGTTTTGTATGTTTACAAGTATTTTGTCAAAAGTAATCCACCCACTGTTGCATGAATTCCTTAAGGTACATAAGAAAAAAATACTAAAATTGATTCATCAAAAGATTTTATTTTGAGTCTAGTGGACACCCAAAAGAATGAACTTGAAAGGATTTTCTTTGCTGATGATGTAAAAAAAATTAGGGGTCATTGACATTGTTTTGAAATAATGTTTTAATGTAAATAGGTAGATTTATGGGGAAATCTTTTAATGTTAATTATCCTATTATGTTAAACTATACCCCAGAACTTTGGAATCTGAGTAATTTTGAGGAATTATGGTTATAACGGGCCTCTTTTGAGAAACTAGAAAACTAGTAACTGCAGAGAGGCTATTATATGCACAAAGATGGAAGAATACAGAAATATGGCTGGGTTTGAATGAAGATGGCTGGGTTTTCAGAAAAGGCTAAACTGACTTGTTTGATTAAGGAGGGAAATACAATTACTTTTATAAAAGACTGGAAACTCTTTATGGACTTTTTGCTGAAAGTGGATAAAAATGAACTGATGATTTTAGGATTTATTGATTAAAAAAGTTTGTTTATGGGAAGAAGGGAATCATGATATCGAATTTGGGAGGGTGCAGGTGGTAATTACTGTGTTTTTAACTGCTGCAAAGAAGATTGAAATTCACTTTTTTAGATACTTTTTTCTTTCTCATTTGTTATTTTTTACTTTTTCTTTTATTCCTTTATATTTTCTTTCTTTTCCTACTTTTTCTTTTATGTTTCTGTAGTTTTTTAAGCCTACGTAAAATTTTCTTATAACAAAAATTACTTAAAAAAAAAAAAGAAACTGAAAACTAGTATTATTCCCAGCATTAAGAACTGGCTTCAGGGGATGGGTAATTCACCTGTTTTTGAAAAACCTGTTTTATCTTTGGAGTCCTTGGTGCTCTCTGGGGTCTACATTGCCTTGAAGACCATATGGAAATTTCAGCTGGTCCAGAATGTGGAGCCGCAGGCAGTTATGAGTGCACCTCAGTAAATCTATGTTATACTTTTGCTCTGTGAACTGCACTGGCTCTAACCGGGCTTCTGGGTGCAATTCACGGTCCTGGTAGTCACCTGTAAAGCCTTTCATGGCATGGAGCTGGGTTATCTGCAAGATTACCTCTCTGATTATTTTTCCCACCCCACCAGAAAAGGCGTTATTTGGGTTCTGTCAATTAGAAAATGTCATCCTATGGGGCCTAGGAAATGGCCTTTTCTGTTGCAGCACTTTCCCTCTGAAACACCATGCACCCAGAGATCCAGCTGGTCCTGACTGTTCTGGCATTTCATAAAACCTTAAAAACATGGCCGTTTTCCTTAGCATGGGGGATTGAAGGCAAAAGGAGAAGAGGACGGCAGAGGATGAGATGGTTAGATAGCATCACTGAAGCTATGTGCATGAAACAGAGCCATCTCAGGGAGGCGGTGCAGGACACTTAGGGCTG